AGGATAAGGGGAGGGAATATGTGGGATGTAACTGTGATGTGATTGGTTGTTTTATACCTCCCTGTGGGCGGTCCTGTATTTGCAAGACTGTAATAAAAACCAGGCTGGGTGTGCCAGCACCTGAGTTCCTGTTTTAACCCTCAAAGTGAAGTGTCGTCTCATTATTGGGGGAAGGATTTATTGTATGCTGTTCCAGTTTGACTGCTAGGAGAGTAAACCTATTCGTATGGTTCCTATTCAACTGTCTACAGCATTCATATGCTTGAGAGGATTCATATGTTTCTCCGGTTCGGTGGTTGTGGTGTCTGCTGCAGTGCTTGGAGTCCTCAGGAAGCGCTAGGAGCATCCTTTAACGGAGGTACCCAGTCGGGGTGCCAGGCGATCCGTTACACTGATGTTGCTCTGTGTACGGAATGAAGAAAAAACTTACTGTTTACAATTGATTTCAAACTCTCTGATTTGGGATCGAAGGAGCTGGGTCCGCTGGCAAAAGGGCTCTTGTTCATAGAGTCAATTATCAAGGAACTTCAAAAGTATGCCAACCAGTGCACACCATTAAAAAAGGCCCAGACTTCTATGAAGAGGGTCCTGGGTGAGTTTTTAAACCAGACACCATCATGTGGTGTTTTTGTCAGGGCTGGTTGCAGTGGGGCCATTAGCTGACACATCTTCCTTCAAGCAACAGTACTCTGACCTTCTTCTGCCAATGTATGAAGAGGCAGAAGAAGTCAGGTCAAAGGATGTGCTAGATTGCCCGTAGGTGAGATTGGCTCCTCCTTGTTCTAGAAATCTATTGCAAGCAGATATGGATATACCAGCTGAAGTGGTAGAGGTTAACACAGTAAAGGAGTTTAAGCATGCGTGGGATAGGCATAAGGCTATCCTAACTATAAGATAAGGCTAGGGACTAATGAAAGTATTTAGAAAATTGGGCAGACTAGATGGGCCAAATGGTTATTATCTGCCGTCACATTCTATGTTTCTATGTTTCTATGATAAAACAATAAAAATGTGCTGGTATCTTCAATCCAAGAGGAAGGAGGAATAGTAACCTGTTCTCTAGACATAGTGTTCACAGGTCGATAACCACAAAGCTTGTTAAATATTGATAGCTTCATTCAATTTCAAGCATTCTTTTGTTTGTCTGAGGAATGCATGAAATAGCCTGCTATGGCAAAAACACTCTGTAAATGGCGTTAAGCGCATTGCTGATAATGTCGGCCATCGCAGTTACCTATCTCACTAATTATTCCAGGTGGTAGCTGACTAGGAATTCTCCTGAAGAACAGAATCTCGAGGCTCCAATGACATCTGCCTCTTTAACTGATTAGGGGTTGGCTGTGCTAATTGGAGTTGTAGTGTTGCCATAGATACAGCAATACCTCCTGCCCTTGAGTTACTGATTTTTTGTAGAGGATTATTCACTAAAGTACGAATTGATCCCTTTAAATAACGCCATCGTAAATCAGAATGCATCTAAATAGCAGTTCATCTTATTTGTTTGCACCTATAAATGGTATTCACATCTTGTTCTATACCGACGTTACATAGATGACCTGTTTTTTATTTGGGAGGGCACAAAAGAAAGTTTAAATAATTTTTTATCCTTTTTAAATGAAAATAACAAAGGGATTAAACTAAATACAGAAATTCTTACCACAAAAGTTAAATTCCTAGACCTGGAAGTCTATGTGGAAGATAACGGGTTACACACTCAAACTTTTTTTTTTTTTAAAAAGGTTCATACAAACACATTCCACAAGCTGCCACCATCCGTCATGGTTGAAAAGTATTCCTAAAAGCCAGCTCATAAGGCTAAAACGTAACTGTTCTAAAAGTATTCCGCGTACAAGCATATAGCCTTAAAGAAATGTTTTTAGAAAAACAATACAAGGAGAATGACATTGACACCTTAATTACTGAATTTAAAAAACTACGACCGAAATCAGCTATTGCAATTTCACAATTCTAACCCAAATCACAATATACATCTACCTATTGTCTTATTGTGTTATTGTTTAATAATAAGAGTTTTAAAATGAAAAAAATCATTAAAAAACCTTGGGATATTTTAAAAGAAGTCCCCCTTTTAAAAAACATCTTACCGGATAAACCTAAAATAGTTTTTAGAGGAGCCCCGGACCTAAAAAGGTGTTTGACACATAATTAGACAAAGAAAGCTATTCCTAAACCATTTTATTTTAATCAGCAGAAAGGTTTTTATAAATGTAAAACATGTTCAGCATGGAGGAATACTGATAATAAAGACACAAAAATGTTTAACTTCAAATCCACATACTCCCCCCAGAGATATAATATCAATAGCTTTATTACCTGTCATTCAAAAAATGTTATATATCTCTTAGAGTGCCGAAGATGTCAAGATGACCACCAGATGTTTAAAAACCTGTATAGCAGAGCACTGTAGGAATATATCAAAAGGATTTTTAAATTATTCAGTGTCAAAACATTTATTAATTCATAACAAAGACCCTACATTTTTACATTTTTATGCTATACTAAAAATATCTCCCCCATGGAGAGGGGTGAACATTTCTAAAATTTTAGGGAGAACTGAACTGAGCTGGGTTTTTAAACTTGATACCTGGGCCCCTAAATGGGCTTAATGTTGATTTCGATTTGTTTAATTTTTTTATAAATAAAGAAAAAATAAATAAAGAAATATTTAAAAAAAGGGATTCGGATTGCAAGGTTTTGGGCAGTTACGCCCACTTAAAAAAAAACTTGTTTTTGTTGAGTCCTCCTCCTTCCCTATTCTATCTACACCCTGTTCCAAATTATTATGCAAATTCTATTTAAGTGTCACAGAGATTAAATATTTTGTTTTTCAGTTTAACTCATGGATGGCATTGTGTCTCAGGGCTCTTTTGATGACTGAAAAAATTTCGGACACCTGTGATAATTAGTTTGCCAGGTAAGCCCAATTTAAGGAAAAACTACTAAAGGAGGGTGTTCCACATTAATAAGCAGAGCACCATTTTCATGCACTATGGGGAAGAAAAGGGATCTCTCTGCTGCCGAAAAGAGTTCAATAGTTCAATGCCTTGGACGAGGTATGAAAACATTAGATATTTCACGAAAACTTAAGCATGATCATCGCACTATTGAGAGATTTGTGGCTGATTCAGGGCACAGACAGGTTTGTGCAGATAAAGGCACATTGAGGAAGATTTCTGCCAGATCCATGCATCGGATCAAGAGAGCAGCTGCTAAAATACTATTACATAGCAGCAAACAGATATTTGAAGCTGCTGGTGCCTCTGGAGTCACACGGACATCAAGGTGTAGAGTCCTCCAGAGTCTTGCAACTGTGCATAAACCTTCTATTCGGCCACCACTAACCAATGCTCACAAGCAGAAACGGCTGCATTGGGCAGAAAAATACATGAAGACTAATTTTCAAACAGTCCTGTTCACTGATGAGTGCCGTGCAACCCTAGATGGTCCAGATAGATGGAGTAGTGGATGGTTGGTGGACGGCCACCCTGTTTCAACAAGGCTGCAACATCAGCAAGGCAGTGGTGGAGTCATGTTTTGTGCCGGAATCATGGGAAGAGAGCTGGTCGGCCCTCTGCAAAGTATGTGGAGTTTCTGACTGACCAGTTTATTCCCTGGCACAGAAGGAAGAACTATGCTTTCCGTAATAAAATCATCTTCATGCATGACAATGCACCATCTCATGCTAAAAGGAGAGAAAGTCATGGTGTGGCCTCCATTCTCCCCTGACCTCAATCCTATTGAGAACCTTTGGAGCATCCTCAAGCAAAAGATATATGAGTGTGGGAGGCAGTTTACATCCAAACAGCAGCTCTGGGAGGCTATTCTGACATCTTGCAAACAAATTCAAGCAGAAACTGTCCAAAAACTCACAAGTTCAATGGATGCAAGACTTGTGAAGCTGTTATCAAATAAGGGGTCCTATGTTAAAATGTAACGTGACCTGTTAAAATGTTTAAAAAGTTGTTATAAGTTTGATTGAAATAGCTTTTGATTTCAGTAAATATGCTGCAAACACAACAAATGACAATTTTCAGTTCTTTACAACCTATAAAGTGTTTTGAAACTTACTGTGCGTAATAATTTGGAACAGTGCATTGTACGCTTTTTATGTTTTAAAAAAAATACTGTTATCATTAGGAGATTTGTTCAATAAAATTTGAATTGTACTCTTAATAGTTGATAACATGAGAATTATGCTGACTGTCATTTACATCAATTATTTAGGTAAATGAGAAAAATATAATTAGCAGAATATTTTGGAACAGAGTGTAGACTCAGATTCAAGTACATTATTTGTAATTCTTTTTTACCCCCACCGGCGGTGGCCATCTTGGTACACTACGGCGGCCATCTTGGAACCCCTTTGAAAGTGAACTCCTCTGTATTTACAATGCTTCTTGTGGATACTTATTATTTCTAATATATTTATACATACTATGTTGTTTTTAAACTCTCTTTTATCTTTAATTGCTCATTTGGTTTTATTTTATGTTTTAAAGTTAATTGATGTTCAGGTCACATGATCAGTGACATCATCTGACCGTTTTTTTTTTTAAAGATTTCTTAGCTATTTAAGAGTGAAGGTCCCCTACTCTGTAACACTTTGGAAAAGCCTTCTGCATAGGTGAAACGCGTTAGTGTGTTACTTACTTTTTCTTTGTTTAATAAAATTAATCTACATTTGCACCCCTGGACCTTCATTGGACATCTTTTATTGGAGAAGCTGTATCTCACATTCCCGGGTGGGGCACAAACCACCTATGCTGTAAAAGACTGAGCAATCCCTATTTGCTCATCCATTGTGAGTATATCTCTCTCTTTATTTTATTTGTTTTATTAATACAGAGAACACTATTCCTGTTCTTTTATATCCTATATATATCACTGGAGCATCATCTGGAATACACCACGTGGATTATTGGCACAGGGATACGATACCAGAGGAAATCAGGACCATCCTAACATCCACAGACGGGGATTGTACCGTCCATACGCTGTGATCTGGAGCTGATCTTGCGCTCCAGAAAAGTGTGAGTGCAATATATTTTTTCCTTATATTCTGCCTCTGCTGTTATAGACCTACTACACTATATTAGTATTCCTGTCCCATTTTGTTTTCTCCCTTATATTGGCTCCATTGGACTCCACACAAGGACTTTAATTGTTATGCCCTGTTTCCCTACATCCCCGGCTATATAGATACAGCAATACCTGCCCTTGAGTTACTGATTTTTGTAGAGCTTTCAAAACCAGGATTATTCACTAAAGTACTAATTGACCCCTTTAAATAACGCCATCATAAATTAGAATGCATCTGAATAGCAGTTCATCTTATTTCTTTGCCCCGTTTAGAGCTCGACATTGTTTTGGTCAAATTGCTAGAACACTCTGATAACATTTTATTTTTACCTTAAGATTTCCATTTATTCAGGATTTCCATGCTTGGAATTGTGGGAGCCAATAAAGACTTGCGCAACACACCCTGGAACCCAGAGCTGAACCTCAGAACATGTGATCTGTATTCTGATGGCACAACGTTTATAATAAATCCCCAAAACTGACTGAAAGTGACATCTGTACACGGCAGGTCCATTTTATCATGACGAGGTATAGACCTAAATTCCATTCCATTTACCTTCAAATGCAGCCTAGAAAAACTGTTTCTTCATATACTTCTAGAAATGAAGCACAATGTTCCAAAACAAATAAGGCGAGTGCAAAGCTGAATTACATTTCACAGACAAAATCTGATCTTGTTTTAGGAAGATATTACCAGCCTGCAGGAGAACGGACGTGCAGAAATACCCATGTAAAATCAGATTTTAGTTCATATATTTTTCTATTATACGTGGACATTTCTAAGAAAAACCCTCCCATTCTTTAGGAAGATAATAGAATTCCATTGCAACTTGACTGATTGGAGAAATGTTTCTGGGGAAGTGATTAAGGGAAAATATAAATTTTCTTCCCACACTGACATGTGCAACAGTAATCACAACATCAAATCAAAGTAATAAAAAAAGCTTCATTAAAGAATAGCTACGCTGGCCCCCCAAGAGATCAGCTCGAATAGATTGCATTAAGATAAAATAGTTCCTAACAGGAATAGAATAATGGCCGGCATTGTGTGCAAAGCCCCATCAGGAAACCACAAAAAGCTGCATTTTGCAAGTGATGAAGTAAGGTGATAGAAACCCAGAAATCCAGACTGACAGAAATATTCCTTGTATCAGCACGTTTAACATCTATATAATAATTACTAATTAGAGCTAATACACATAGGATGAGATGATATTAAACAGCTGCATCTGCCACACACACACTTCACACAGACACACACACACATAAAGATACATACAAACAAACACACACACTGACACACACATAAACAGACACGCACACATTGACACACACACACAGAGGCACACTCTATGTTTAATACAGTTTAATACACATATGCAGCCCACACTCTGACAAACACAAACAGAGACACACACTGACACCCACACATAAACAGACACACGCACACACACACACACACACATAAACAGACACACACTGACACACACACATACACACATAAACAGGCACACACACAAACACAGACATACAGACACACACACGCACTGGCACACACATAACCAGACACATACTGACACACACATAAACAGACACACATACACAATACACACACACAGTGACACACACACACACACACACACAGACACACACTCTGACACATGCTTTTATACATATACAGACACACACTCTGACAAGCACATAAACAGAAACACACTGACACACCTTGACACATACACATACATAAGCACACATATACACACTGACAAACACAAATAATTACACACACATAAACAGACACATACTCTGACACACTGGCAAATACACATACATAAACACACGTAAACACACACTGACACACAAATAAACACATACACATAAACAGACATGCACACCATCTGACACACACATTAAGAGACACCCTTTGACACATAAACACACACACACACACACACACATATTCTGAAACAAAAACACACAAGTTCTCCTGTTTGGCAGGTATCATAAATCATAAAGCAACAACACAAATCTTCTATTTCTTGACTTTCAAGCCATTAGTGTTTATGTACAAGTCTGATGGGCAACCAATCCATAATGCAATTGTGTCGTTAATCACTGAGGTCTGATGCAACAATGATCTAACGCTTCAGGGAATATGTTTTTGTATAGACATAGATTCCATAGATTCCATAGAGCCAGGTGTGACACAAGGACCTCAGGGCAATCTCCAGGGCATGCCCTGTTCACAGATTATCCTTATTTACACAATTTCTTGTCATTTTGTGGTTTATTTTAATCTTGGAATATTGTCCCACTGGGTTATGATTTTTGAATAATTCCAGAATTATTAATTTTCTGCTTGTTTTTTGGATTTTTTTTCATTTTGTGATGGTCTTCTGGCCCTCGATGACATCAGAGAAGAGGCCTTAAAAAGTCCCTAAAAATGTTGTGAATCTGTCTTATTCTAGCATGACTCGAACAAAGTATTTTTTTTCACTCTGCACGTTTTTCATTTTCTCCAAATTGTCCACCAGTTGTACTTAATATCCTTTCCTAAATAACTATGATAAAAGAATAAAGCAAAATGTAATCCCTTGCAGGACCAAATAGAAGTGGGAAGATTAATGTCCTGAGCAGTATATTATATCTGATACATTATTAGAGGCATTATTATCGTATAATAGCTCAATCTTGCAGTTACAATGAAGACTGAGGTGCAGCTTGACAGAAGGAAGTAAATAACACAACCTCTACAAATTAATGATAACCAAGAGTTTAAAGGAACACTCTAAGAACCTTATCTACTACAGCATGGTCAAAAAGGAGTCAAACTGTTTTAGAATGACTTCTTACCTGGAATTTGCTGGACGCTGCTCCCCACCTCCACTACTTCTTATGGAGAACCAGCTGCTGTCAACCAATGAGCATTTCAGGGCTTAGCGCAGGAAAGCCAATGGAAAGTAAGTTTCCAACTCTCCATATAAAGTAGTAGAGATGGGGAGTGAAGCCCAGTGAACGTTAGGTAAGAAGTCAAACTATTTGACTCCTTACAATGGGGTTCACCAGGGCACTACTGGTACTATAGCCACTACAGCGCAATGCAGAGGTTACGTTGCTTGGAGTGTTCTTTCAAGTGTCCCATGTCTCTTCTATTGCTGATTAGTGGAAGAGATACTAAACAAAAATGTTAAAAAACAACAACAATTTGTTGATCACTATTACAGAAAGCACTGATAACCTGGGGCGTTTTAAGTGAAGTTTTCCTTCAGTCACTCTGTTTGCCTTAAAGTGAATGAAGTCTTTTGTTGCTGCCGTAGATTAAGATGATGTTTTTTTACTCACAATAGAGAAGGGAGGATTGAGTTCCCCTGGTAAAACAAGAAGCAGGCTTGGGAGAGGTGCCTACATACATGATAACCATAATAGATTGCTGACGCTTTCTGAGCGTTCCCATCTAATTGGCGGAGAACATCCTGTCCAACTGGAAATTGAGTTTTACTCCCAATCTTTAGAATTGCTGAAATAATATTTGGCCACTACAGAGAACATAACCACTCAAGATGTAATACACTTGTGGCACGAGTTGACATAGTTTGAGTTAAAAGAATGAAACATCCTTTTTTTCAGTTTTCTCTTTTTGTGACATGGGGGTTATGTGGTAAAGTACCTTATCATTGCTACAACCAATAATCACTTTGCTTAGCACCAAAAACTCAAAGATGTGTCCACTGACCAATGGGAAATGACCAGTGGTCTTAATTAGTTTATATCTGCCACCTGGTTATGAGTTTTACAATCAGCTAACTCTTGGGTGAAGTTGAATAAAGTTCTGTATATGTGGTTGTGCTAAAATAGATTGAATTGTAATGACTTTGAGATCTGTGTTTAATTACAGATCCTTGGAGATGGGATTAATCGGGCAATTAGGCACTTGAAGTCCTCTTCTCGTGTTGACTACATGTCTATTATGTGCAGAGTGAATTATACAAGATAAAGACTTTCTGCAATTTCTGTATTGATTATAAATAGTATTGTCCAAGGAGCTATAGCTAGTAAAGGTTCCAGCTTCATATTAATATATAGTCATCTCCTATTGATACTTTGTGTCAAGTTATCTTAAAATGCAGTATTCTTGGAAAAATTCAATAGCTGTAACTGTCAGTATCTTTTTTATAAAACTACATTTTAATTACATTGTGTTATAAAGCACAAGAGATTACAAGACGATCCCACGTGTCTTGATATCACTGGACAAAGGAGATAAAGCAGTTTTTTGTGATAAATTAACCGTACAAAACTTGTGAATTTACCCGTAATACTATTACTTGTGTGGCTACTATAGGGATAGATGTTTTGACTTATTAAAAATAAAAGCTATTGTGGTTTAAATGTTAAATATTTACCTTTAAGACAACGTTATTATTTTACTTTAAGATGTAAGAAATATCGAGCACACTGACCATTGTAACTTCCTTCCTTTGCCTCATTACTTCTTTGAAAGGAAGTGAAGTCATAGTTCTAAAAATCTAAAAATAAAATAGTAGAATTTTTTTTACATTGGACCTAATGAACCCTTTCTTCCATGGAGTTAGATATTTAAATAGCTAATTGCAGCTTTTTATAATGGTATCTTGTCTTGGAATCGGCGATAGCCTGCCTGCAAAATCAATCTACCGAATTCTAAAATGCAGTTTGACTGAATCTGTATGGAAAGTAAGATGCTGATTCTGCCAATTGTGTATTTTTTATCATATGGTTCGAGGTCTTGTCTGCATTCAAGTATGCAGTGCCATCTTAACAACATTATGGGCCCCTGGGCAAAGCAGTGCACTGGGGCCTTGCCTACACAACCAGTCACAGGAATAAAAATGTAAATTATCGATAAAACTACACTTATATTTATTGGTACATTCAGCAAATTCAATACATTCATACATTACAAACACACGTAGTGCTGAATACACACACACGGACTGCTGAATACACACACACAGAATGCAGAATACATATGGGCTGCTGTATACACACACACAGACTGCTAAATACACACACAGACAGCTGAATACACACACACAGACTTCTGAATACACACACAGGCTGCTGTATACACACACACAGACTGCTGAATACACACACACACAGACTGCTGAATACACACACACAGACTTCTGAATACACACACACAGACTGCGGAATACACACACACAGAATGCAAAATACATACAGGCTGCTGTATACACACACACAGACTGCTAAATACACACACAGACAGCTGAATACACACACACAAACTTCTGAATACACACACAGGCTGCTGTATACACACACACAGACTGCTGAATACACACACACACAGACTGCTGAATACACACACACAGACTTCTGAATACACACACAGGCTGCTGTATACACACACATGGACTGCTGAATACACACACACACACAGACTGCTGAATACACACACACAGACTTCTGAATACAGACACAGGCTGCTGAATAAACACACACGGATGGCTGAATACACACACTGACTGCTGAATCACACACAGAGACTGCAGAATACCCACAGGCTGCTGTATACACACACAGGCTGTTGAATACATACACACCGACTGCTGAATACAGACAACAGCTGAGTAGACACACATACTGCTAAATGCATAAATAGACTCCTGAATATACACACACAGACTGCTGAATCACACACACAGACTGCAGAATACACACAGGCTGCTGTATACACACACAGGCTGATGAATGCATACAAACAGACTGCTGAATACATACACATACTGCTGAAAAAACACACACAGACTGCTGACTACAGACACACAGACTGCTGAACATACAGAGACTGCTGAAAACACACATACAGACTGCTGAACACACACACAGACTGCTGAACACACACACAGACTGCTGAACACACACAAACTGGTGAATACACACAAACTGTTGAATACACACAGACAGACAGCAGTGAGGGGTGCAGTGTGTGTGTGAGGGGTGCAATGCGTGTTTGTCTGTGTGAGGGTTGCAGTGTGCGTGTGTAAGGGGTGCAGTGCGTGTGAGAGGGGTGGTGTGTGAGAGGGATGCTGTGTGAGTGAGAGGGGTGCTGTGTGTGTGTGTATGTGAGGGGTGCTGTGTGTGTGAGAGGGGTGCTTTGTGTGTGAGAGGGGTACTGTGTGTGAGTGTGAGGGGTGCTGTGTGAGTGTGAAGAGTGCTGTGTGTGTGAGATGGGAGCTGTGTTTGAGTGTGAGGGGTGCTGTGGGAGGGGTGCATAGGGAAAGGGGATTTTTTGTTTGTTATTTTAATTTAAAATGAATTTAAAAAAAACTTCATGTCCCCCCTCAGTCCCCACCCTTCTTCTTACCTTTGGTGAGAGGGGGGTCTGGTGGTGGGTACTGATCTAAAGCCTCCCGCAAGCAGAATGATGTGGCAACGCTCAGACCAGCATGTTTACGGGAGGAACTGCCTCTCAGGTCCTCTCTACCCGCCCTCTCTCTAACGAAGGACCATTGGGCCGGTGAGGGAGATCTTTGATCTCCCCACCCGCCCGAGAGAGCCCAAACCAAGCGAGCAAGGCCGGCTCTCTGTGGACTGGCAGGGGAGATCAAAGGATCTCCCAAGTCGGCCCGGTACATTGGCAACACTGTAAGGCCCCCATGCTTGTGGGGCCCCCGGGCAACTGGCCAGCGTGCCCATGTGGAACGATGACCCTGCGTGTATGCACCTGCATAGCAAATTCACCATAATAAACCCACCATTGTGACATGTTAAAAGAGCTAAACCGGTCTTTGCTGGAATCCTGACGCACTCTTCATCTTTCCAGCCTTGTGCATAAGAGCTTTTCTGGGAAGCTCTCACCCTACCTGACTAGAATGCTCTCCCTGGCTGTTCCACCTCATATAACCTCCGATCCGGTACTAGCACGATATTTAGCATACCGCAATACAAAAATAAAGTGGCTCGATCCTCCTTTTCCTACAGAGCCCCACAATTATAGAATAACCTCAGGGATACAGTCACATCTTCATTCAATCTAAAATCTTTTAAGAGATCTATGGCAATATACCTCATTACAGAATGCACCTGTCATTTATTTATCACCGGTTATGTGTTAAATTTATAAATATATATTGTTTGTATATTGTATTTTTTGTAATATTGTATCCTATTCTAACAATCCAATGTTTTGTGGACCCATCTCAATGTATCCTTCCTGGTAAAATTTTAAATAAATAAATACATTTAAGCCCAACCTATATTCCCGATACGGTTTCAGAACGATGTTGACATTTTGCAGTCTACATGCCCTGGATGGTCATTATTTTTGCTAATCTGGAGCGGGGCATTCTGCTTTTATTAGATAACCCTCCCAGTCAGTTTTCAGTCTAACACGACTACTACTCTGTTTAGTTAATAAACCCAAGTGACTTTTAATGACGAACTTGGAAATTTAGGCCATAATATTCTGGATTTTGTTTTTATCAATTCGAACCACTCTCATGCCTGATACTGGAAAGTTACTTGTCAACTGATCAAATCGTATTGTTTACTCCACAGATTTCGAGGAATAAAATCTTAATACAGAGAGTACAGAACAGACAAACAAAAATCGGGCAGTAAAGTGCATAAAATCCTGCTTCAGCCAAATAAAATGATTCTTAAGTACATTCTAAAGACAAGAAGCAGCACTTTGTGTACTTGGTGTCAGGATTCTTTCATTATTTGACATTTATTTCCTTAACATATAAAAAATAGATGTTCTGACCTATTTATTATCCAATAAGTTCGGTTCTGATTAGAAAAGCGGTTATTGATCACAATTCCTCAATCTGTGCACTATGATGGAACAGTGGAGTACAGCTTTATTTAACTCAGCATTATGATCATCATGATATATCGAATGATCTTCCACTGCGCAGATTTATTTAAAGAATGGGAAATGTGCATTCATTTTACTCCGGCAGTAGTATTTATTCAAACTAAAACACAGATAACTCTGAGGATTTTCTTGTAATAAGTGTGTCACTATAATTTATCTTTATAATATGCTTTATCCACTTCTGTAACCACTGCTTTAAATCACAAAGGCTTTGTTTAGTGTTAGACTTCAGACAGCGCTTGGCACTGAAAGATACGGAATGTAAAAGGTATGAAAATTCTAAAACAAGTGATTGTGCATCCTGTGCCAATATTCCTATAATGGGGCAATCACCATGGAAACCAAGAGAATGTTCTCGCTGATTAGTTATGTGATGTAGAGAGTTGTTTGCCAATATATGCTTTGCTGATGATCTTTGCAATTTAGTTGAAACTTTTTATGTAGAAATATAATATCTAGACATCTCTTCTGATATCACACACCCTTTTTCTCTTGATCTATACAGTTGCAACGTTTTTGATAACAAAATGCATGGACACATTTTTGCGCTATCCACCTCTCTCCCATAGAAAACATATATATTCATTTAGTAAATACAAACAATTCACAAAAACAAAACCCCTTTGTAATTTTCATTCCCATTTAATTTATACTATGCAGTACACTATTATTGTTAATATTATTAGTATTAATTAATCTGGCCTCTAATAAGATTAATTCAGATTAGATCACACTGCTTTCTTCTTACTGAGCACTCAAAGTAATGTCTCTTTCTCTTCAATTAAATTATACCTTTCATGTGTGGCAATATTTACCTCTGCCGAGCCGCGCAGACACCCTCCTGCTGCGTGCTCCAACCGCTCAACATTACCACACGGTCCAAACACTCCACGACCGCGCGGCACACTGAGGGAGACTCGCCACCTTCGGTCCTAGCCAACCTCCTCCTGCTGCGCGGTCTGACTGAACTACGTGGCCCCGCGGCAGGATGTCTATATAAAGATGTGGACGTGACATCACGTTCACTCTTAAAGTGACCACGACATCATTGTGATCCTAATCTGTTTTGGATTGCAGTGCTGACCTATCAGAACATAGGCAAGCCTATTTAAGGCTTGTTTTAGCCCCCATTCATTGCCCTATTGTGGTTTCTGTTAGAACTTTGTTTAGTGCTCCTAGTGATCCCCTTGCGATTTCCTGTATTTGACATCAGCTTCGTATTTGATTTGTTATTTTTGGTATACTAACCTCGGCTTCGTATTTGACTTGTGATTTCTTGTATCCGGACCCTGGCTTTGTCTTGACTCTGTGTATTCCTGCTATTCCTGTCCTTGATTTATTCTTGACCCCGATTCTTGTTGTTTAGTTACATTAAGTCCGGCCATTCTAAGGCTCGGTAATACGTCTTTCGGATCCACCTTTTGTGCTTTCCTCTTTACTGCATGTTGGGTTACGACTCCTGTGATATCATGGAATCCACAAGTTAACTTTAAATGAAAGTAAAACAAAATATTGTGCATGTGGAAATGCTAATAAATCTATCGATTTTATGTCCCTCCATCCCCTGTCAGTCAGTTCTTGACATTGCGTTGGCTGCCAATAGGAGATTTCCGCGGCTCTATCGAGTTAATAGAGGAGTGTGGGAGACAGAGTGATGCTGATACACTGACCACGAAGCCATTCGTGGATCATAGGAGAGCACTGTTATTCATGGGGAATGTTTCTAAGCAGGGCCAATCATCACAGAGGGCATTAAATAGTATCGGAGGGAGAAGGACTGCTGGACGGTGCTTTGGGGGTGGAACCCCAGATATGGAGCTCTTTAGCCCTGGGTCTATACAGTTGATAAAAAGGGCAATAGTATAGCAATAATTATTACATTTTTAATAAATACGTTCATTTTAAAGCAGTTGCTTATTACAAAAATTTACAATCAGTACTACAGTGATCTGCCAGAATACTTAAGAGGAGGGGGAGGTAACCCCAAGGTGACTGTCCTGAAGGGCTGCTAGGTAAGTGACCTTTGCTGCACACCCCTCTATTAGTTAAGTAGGGTGGTGGGATCACATTGAACACCTGGCTGTGCAGCAGCAGCAGCTGTTCATGGGTGGAGAAGAAGGGACATAACATAGAAAGGCAGCGACAGTACATAAGGATAGTACCAGGTGCCCCCACCTCTCTGTTAGTGTAAGGGATGTTAACGTTTCCTTTGGGTGTTCCTGGAACTTAGCAAAGCCCCTGGAGTAGACATAAAATATTGCAATGTGAATAATAAGTATTATAAATATGTTTCTATAGTTTCTATGCACCACGCCAGGAACGCACACGGACATTCATATTCCTGGCTTACAAATCTGCTTACATATTCCACTTAGTACTTTGAAGATAAATAACCCTGTTACCCTGCTGATTCCGGGGACGTGTTCTCGCAATCTCCCATTGTCAGGGGTCTAATGAGGTGTGTTATTGAATGGCTAGTGATAAAATCTCCCCGGCTATATTACTGATCCTTTTAAATCTGCTCTGTTACATTGTGTACCTGCAGCCCTTCCATGGCAATGCTGGAGAGATTACACTGTGCATTGAGAGCTGCTGGCAATACGATGGATAAGATTGGCACAATGTTTCCTGAACAATTATTTACAAAGTAACTTGATTTAATAAACTCCAATAAAAAGTAATTGTGATTGATGAAACCAGAAAGAAAATAAACAAGTGGGCAGTAAACAGGCCAAATATGTTCCTGATTATTTTCTGATAACCAGCATCGAGAATCAATGCAAGGGTTTCAGAAACATGTCTAGCAATGTCTAATCTCAGCATAAACTGATAGATAGATACTTAATAGATACAGAGATAATGAAAAAAGGGGATAAGTGGGTGAAGGCAGTTGTACAAAATAAAGTGGGGTAAAGTGCAGGCTAGCCACTGCCCAGAGGTCACTCCCAACCTCAATATACCAAAAAACACACACCTGAATGAATCCAGATAACAGGGCGCCACAATCACTTAAAATACCAAATGAACAAGGGGAGAGTAATCAGTAGAAAGTTATAACACCAAATTTATTGAAAATCACAATATAAAAGCCATATATTGGCAGTGGCACAGTAAATGTGCAAAACAAGCAAGGAATATACCCTTAGGCATAGCAGCTTAGACTAACATGCTGTGCATATGCTAGAGTGCAAATACTCAAAGTGCAGGGTGCTAAAGAAAAAATAAAACACAACAGTTAACTCTCACTGTTCTTAGCAAATAAAATCAAATGCACAATAATAACACACTAAAACCAAACAAGCATGTAGAGAAAAGACTGCTGATACCAGTAAACAGGGTTCCTGCTTGGGCTCAACGCGTTTCGTCTTGGGGACTTCTTCAGGAGAACCTATCTTCTTTCCCATCTTCCGTGGTTTAAATATGCCAGTCCGTGTATCCGGTTCCGTGATTGCGCATGTGCACCTGACGTCCGTCGCACCGTCATACGTAATGATGTGCGAACGACCAGTCTGTGCATGCGCAACCACGCTGGAACGAAAACAAAACTTTACAGACAATCTACCCAGCCGCACACTAAATATTCACTAGCAAATGCTTAGTATAAATACGATCCTGGGTTTACAGCCCTTCCTGAAGGCAAACTAAGTACTAACAGAGCAGACTAACACCCTTACAAACCTACAAATGGACTTATATGTAATTTGCCATAAAAAAAGGCAAAATGTTTAATAAAAAATATATTGAAAAAATTGTGTATGCGAGATTAACAGACTTCCTCGAGTCCAACTCTCTGCTAGACCCGCTTCAGTCTGGTTTCCGCGCTAAGCACTCTGTGGAAACGGCACTGACCAAAGTATCCAATGATCTACTCGC